AGCCACCGCCGCCCGGGCCGCCAGCTTCCTCCTGAGGCAGCTCTTAAACCTGGAGTACGTGGGGCCCTCTCGGAGCCTGGGACCTGCACAAGTGAAAGGAGACAAAACACCAAAATGAGTCATGACTTCGGATCATTCCCTCCCTTCGCGCCGTTTCCTCTGCCAGGCCGCGTGGGCTCGGCCCACCCCAGAGCAACAGGCCGTGGAAATGGGCGTTGGGCTCAGGACGGCTCCGGCGTCAGTCACCTGGGTAGAGAAAGAGCGAGGCAGGGGAAACGGAAAGAAACAAACGTTTCTGGTCAGAAAAATACCTCTGAATCACCTGTCACACAGAAGAAAAAAAAAAAAAAAAAAGAATTTGTGTCACGCGTGCACTAGGCTATGGCACTGGCTGTTGAAAGACCCAAGGCACCTTCAGACGTTTAGCGCAGGCTCCTGGGTCTGCTCTTTCCTGAGAGAGGTGGCCAAACCCACATGTTGCCTGTCTGGAACCAGGCTGGCTTTCTGACCTTCACCCAAGGAGGGCTTCGATCTCTTCCAATTTCTGAATCTTACCACCACTGCAGCTTGTTCATGTTACTATTTTTAATGTTATCTCACACTTTTTAATATATTAAGGCATACTAAATGAAGATTAAATGGCAGATTTACTTTCATTACACTCAGATTCATTCATAAAGCAAGCAATGTGTCAGAAAAACATAAAACATAAGAACATATCAAAATTTGAAATGTAAGAGCCTAGATAATACTGAACACAGAAATTACTTTTTTTCCCCAGTTTTAAAGCAATGCATTAGGTGAAAGTAGCAACAGTAAGGAAACACCGCAAGTATAATGGGCTTCTGGATCATTATTAGGTACTCCAGTAAATATTTATAATATATCTTGTAATTATTTTTTTTATTTCTGAAATAATATGAGATGCAAATTACAAGCTATTGAGATGTAACTTAGACACCAGGATCTTGCATAGATTTTCTGAAATCAAACCCATTCAAACTTGATTTTAAAGTCAGCATTAGTCACCTGTGCTTTGCTCCTTGAGTACAGCTTTGTTCATTTCAGCACAGAAGTCTGTGCCTTTTCTGTCCCCACCACTACAACAGCAGGCCCACAGGCTTCACTGCCAGGCAGAGATCACGCCTCACATGTCCTCAGATCACCAGAAACACCCACACAAAGACTAAAATTTCACTGTATTTCCCAAGCATCTCTCCGTTATGGAGAACTATGTGAAACTCTCCATATAGTCTTGGTAAACAAAATTAACATGGACTTCAGCTATTTAGAGATTATAGAAATGGCTGAACATACCACTGTGGTATTGTACAAATTAAGGATAGTTGAGGTGCTATCAAAGTCATTGGAAAGCAACAGACTCCCAGATTCCAGGTTTCACCTTCAGAAAGTCCCATTCTATTCTCATCCTTTAAAATGTAACTTCCAAGTGCAGCAAAAAAATCAGAGCGGTAAGAAAAACAACTGAAATAGAAATCAATCTTCAATGGTGGTTTGAACTGGAAGGAAAAGGAAGTTAGCAGATACTGACAAGGAACATGGGCTGAAAGACAAGTAATAGCTTAGAAAAGCCCAAGAACAGAAATGTGAGGAGGACAAAACAAAATCCTGAAAGCTGAGAGGAAGAGAGGGAATATCAAATGGACAGAAAGAAAGAGGGAAGGACTGAACAAGGGAAGACATGAAGACAAGAGAAAATTTTGGGTTTTCCATAACTGAGTTGTAACCACTACATGCTGATGTACGTTCAAAAACCAAGAGCAACAGGCAAACACGTTTAAAATATAAAACAATAAAATTAAGACAGATAAGAAACCAGACTTGTGTGGCTTTAAGGTTCGGAGTGTCTTTCACAATTGCCTTAGCAAAACACCACTGGAGATGCCTGGCTTGTACCTGAGATTCTCAGCTAACTCATTCTTCTCTCGTGCCGACCTTCCATCCTCTCATCTCAGCACAGCTAGCTGCCAGTTAGCCAGTAGCAATTAAAAAAGCAACCCATTTTCCATCATCAGCCCACCTCATTAAAAAAAAAAAAAAATTATCTTCCCTTGTGCAATCCTATAAACAAGGAGTTTTTCTCTGCCCCATTTGCTGTAAAAGAGTTTTACAAACAAAGCTGCCTGTGATCCCACAGCAGCTGATGAAAGGCAGGACTCAGGCTGTAAACAGGGTGGTTTCAGCCATACTCCCTTCCTTCCACCTGAACAGCTGGCCCTCAAACTGCTTCTCCAGGTCAGTCTGGTAGCATAGATACCTGCTGCTGAAGAACTCTGTCAGGGACACCCGAGGGGCCCAGGGGATGTGTTAGAGTTGCACTACAGACACACAAAAGGCCCCAGCAGCTCTCAAGACAGTGCGCAGACAAACACTGGAGTATTCCGCACAGGTCAGTTAAACAGAGTAATCAGCATCCTTAGGTGATGGGAACTTTTCATTAATTACTTTTTTTTTTTTTCTTTTCCCAGAGCAATTTCTGTACTTTACAGAAGAGCTCTGAAGCCCAGCAGAAGCACTGTGATACAAAACAGCCACTTCTGCAACCGGCACAAAATGAGCAGCTTGTTCTTTCCAGTCCGAGCTGCAAGTTTCATATTTCAGCTCCTCCTTCACATTCCAGGCCTGCCCAGGCTCCTCTCCAAAGATTTCGAAAATGGATCCTCTCACAACTACTTATCCTCTGAAATACTCAGTGCCCAAGGCCAGGGTCTTTGTTATCTTTCTGACAATGGTTTTGTGTACTGCCATTCTCTGCCTGCTGCAACTCAGATTTTTTAAACCTAAAATCAAAGATTTCTATTCTTTCGAAGTCAAGGATTCACGAGGAAGGATCATTTCCTTGGAGAAGTACAGAGGAAAAGTAAGTTAAAACTTCATTATACCTTTGTCTTGAATCTTTACTGAAAAACAGGTGTCCATTTGTAGGTAAACAAAAAATTTGGTTATGGGAATTTTTGGCAGAGATTTGTGCTAAATTCCTGTTCTTCAAACACTAAGCTGGAGAGACATTTATTTTATCTGGGCCTGCTCCAGGAATTAAGTATTATTTCTAATAAATCGATAAAAATGTTTTTTCATATTCTTAATTATAAATCAATACAGCCTAACAATACAATTTGTGCATTTTAATCTTAGTTAAGAATGGTAGCATGTTGTGTTGAATTCTGGAAGTTGATCTAGTAAATGTGATTTTAGTGCCTGTTCTAAATACCTGCTTTTTTACATGCTTATATTTAAACAAAGCTGTAAGTTGAAGTTTATCCATTTATTGGATTTTTGAAACAGGTTGTCTGAAAGTAAATATCTTTTAAACTGCTATCATCCTTAATCTGTTTAATGAAATTGTGATCAGACGGATTAAATTTAGCCTTCCAGCAGTAATGGTTATAGTAGTGGGAGATGCCATTTTAACAATTAATTGTAATCTCTACGCCATGTCTAGTTGGTGTTTTTTTCTTACTATTATAACTTCATTTCTCTGAAGGCAACTTTGGTTGTAAACGTGGCCAGTTACTGCCAACACACAGACAGAAATTACATCGCACTGCAAGAACTACACAGAGAGTTTGGTCCCTCCCACTTCACTGTGCTGGCTTTTCCCTGCAACCAGTTCGGAGAATCAGAGCCTAGTTCAAGCCAGGAAATAGAATCTTTTGCTAAAGGAAATTACGGAGTAACCTTCCCTGTTTTCCACAAAATCAAGATCCTAGGATCAGAAGCAGAGCCTGCTTTTAAATTTCTAATAGGTAACTGTTTTCTTTTATATATCAAGCTGCCTGTAACCGTGGTATTCTCCCTAAATTCCAGTCTGGGTTTGTTTGTCAGGAAATCGTAGTCTTCATAGTCTATGGAGAGAAACAGGCACTCAGCATACAATTCATCTCATTTCAATGTGTATATCAAAAACATGGTCGGACAAGTTGTACCCTGAAAGCATCTTTTTCTCCTCATTGATTATAAAAACAGCCTACTGTGACCAGCCCAGCTAGAAATACCCATTTTGTGTGTGTATAAACTTAAGTGCAAAGACTCCCACCTACAAAATCCCATTTAAAATTATGTGACTTCTGTTGAAAACCAACTTTTCTTATGGCCAAAAATGTAACTGTGGAGGTTCATAAAATTACTGGAAGATTTTACATAAACTCATGCAGATGAGAAGATTCCTTTAGCAGTGTCATATGTCCAGCTATACGTAAACTGTATTGTAAAGCAGGATTATATATACTGTAGTTATATATAATCACTGATTTGCATTAATTTGTCTTGTGAACTTCAAAGCCCAGCCTGCAAAACCCACTCACACAAATAACTCCTGTTACAGCAAGCATGTACTGACTTAGAAGTTTATACTCTCATCACAAGCAAAATTAAACATTCTTTAGTTGACCAAAGAGCTCATAGACCCAAAGCCAGCTTGAAAAGCTTCTCTGAATTTTCCTGAGCTTTGGCCAAGTCTTTGACCCATAAAGACTGATTAGGAAAGAAAGGATAATTAAAAACATAACCCTTCTCTATCACATCATTTTAACTACAAAATAAGGTAGCGGAAGGCCCAAACCTGTATTCCCTCTCCCTGCCCCAAGACAGGATCACAGTTACCCAAATCACTACTACATATGCTTCTCCAGACTATTACAGCAGTCATATGAGGTATTTCAAAACCTAGTCCTAGTTTATTCCAGCGCTTCACAGCTCCTCGTCAGAAAGCTATTTCATCATCTAAATGAGATCTTTCTTACACCACTTAAGTCTGTTCCTTCTTGCTATATCCTCTGTGATACCCCTCATGTCCTTGAAAATTACTATCATTTAGCAGTCATTTAAGCAGTCACCATTGTCACTGTAACTGTGTTTCTTCCTACCTTCCCTTAGGCATGTCACCAAAGACCTCAGGTAAAGCCTTGTTGCTCTGAGTTGCCTGATGTCCAGTGGAATTCTTGAACGCACTCTGGAGGTGCGTCTCAGTTCATTACAGAGGAGATTAGACCACGTAGGTACCAGCTGGGTGGGATTCTAACTAGCAGCGCAGTCATTACCAGACATTAATACTTATACAGAAAAGGACCAGCCATATTCCCTCAGTTGGTTCATATTTGACA